GACTTTCAGGAACCCTTTGACAGACCCTAACTTGGAAAGCTAAACTTTTTTTTCACCGGAGGGGGGAGAAAAAAAAAAAAAAAAAAAAGAGTAAAAAAGAAGTCTTTGATCATTCCTTTCTCAATTCAGGAAAAAAAAGCTGACTGTAGATAAACCTGATCCCTATTTTGGTATAGCAGAGAGTCAAATATTTTGTCTCTCTCTGTCATACTAAGATATCTGCTGGCAATTGCCACCCACTATTGCCTGTAAAGGGTGATGGGATTATCCTGTATATTTATGGAGGGCCCAAAGGACAAGGGCTGGGGTCCAAGGAAGCCTCAGGATCCATGCAACGTGGATGATCAGATGATTTCTTTATATAAGTATGGCTTACTTTGTAGAAGCTCAAAAGAGGGTAGGTGATAAGTATTTTCAGCAGCATTAGCCAAGACGACTGCTACCAGAGGTCTGGGCTCTCCTGTTCCTTTGCAGAGGGTCCAACCTGGGCTTCTGGTCCCCATCAGTTTGGCAGGAGCAAGGGGAACAAATAGAGGAGTGAGCAAGAGCCAACAAGCAAAACCTGGGCATCCATGGCTCCTTCCCAAGGCCTGGAGGTATCTGGGGCAGCATGTGGCACTGCTGGTAAGACTAGGAAAAGCAGCTCTTCCTTCACATCTTCCAGCCATGACAAAGGCCAAGTGGGCTCCATGGCCCTAGTGATGTTTGCCACATGCAGGTCCCTACTTAGTCTATTCCTACAGCCAACCCTAGCTGAGAGGCCATAGTGGTTTCTCTGAAATGCAAGAGTGCTCCAGCATCACTGGCTGACTTTAAGAGTCTTGAGCATCAGCCACGGGGATTTAAACACTGCAATCAGGTTCAGTAATCCGTAACTGAATGCAGCTTTGATTTGCCTCCATCAGGTTACTACTTGTTTAATGAGTAAATTTTTCTGCTCCAACACCAGAACAAGTACCTACAAGAAACAAATCGTAATTGCCACAGTCGGTGCCAAGATCATAAAGTACAGCAAGTCTAGACTTTTCTGGCTTTATGTCTTCAGCTGCGTACCTGTATGAGCAAACCTGTTAAACACACTACCCACTCCACTGCTGTTTTTCTTCTTTGAAGCCCTGGGTAGAAGGTAGGGGTGGACTGGTGTAAAGCACAGCTCCCTTCAGAGTTAGGGATGAAAAGGCATACAGCTAATGGCAAAAGCAAAGAGCAGCCACAGCTATTAACAATAAATTTGGCCTCACACACTCCAATCAAATCTGTCCTTACCTCAAACCCTTCAAACTCCACCTTGGGCACCAGAAGGGACTGTTGTGATTTAGCCCCAGGAGGCAGCTCAGCCCCACTCAGCCGCTCCCTCGCTCCTCCACACTGGGGTGGGGGGAGAGAATCAGAGGGGCAGCAGTGCAAAAACCCACGGGCTGAGATAAAAAGACAGTTTAAGAGGTGAATCCCAAGCTGGAAGGATAGTAAACTAAGAGCTCAAAGGAAGCAAGCATTGTATGAAATGATGCTCAGCACGGCACAAATGAACAAAACCAATCTGGCAAAGAACGTGGCGAGAATTAATATGGAATTGTTTATATCCTGGTGACTGGTGCCTGACTGAGACACAGGAAAAGCTGGAAGTTCTCACTGAAAAGAGATTTTATCAAGAACATGAAAGAAATAAAAGGAATAGCCTGCGCGGTTCGGATATTAAAATCTCTGCTTAGAAGGCATTTAAGAAGGATAAAGCTGATGATGTGTTGCTACTAAAGAAGTTATTAATTGTTTAAAGCTGCTGATAAGAGCAAGGTCTACAAATCCTCAATGCCTGCGAAGCATGCTGTGCTGACAGAGCCCGGGAGAAGGCCATGTTAAGGGCTTGCCTTAGGCTACTGAATCAGAAATACTGAGCAGTATTTAGAATAACTCGTTCAACCTGAAACTGAAGGGTGAAGGAAGAGAGTGGGTTTCGCATCATTACGGGGGGCTTCAGACTGGGAACACAGAGTACTACACCCAGTAGCAAAACTGGCTTAAAATTGCAGATAAAATGTCCACACTGGTAGTAAAAATACCAATATTAATACCCTTATATGATATGGGGATTAATCTGGGTATGTTGATCTCTGACTGGGGATCAAGAGATCGTATAATCTACCAACATTTTAAAATTAACATGTCCAGCTATCTTCTTGTACCTATCATCCTTTTAAAAACCACCTGAAATTCCCTCCGGCCTCCTGATACTCGTTTTCAGTAATTCTTGAAAGACTAGAGAAAATCAAGAGGACTGGAAGAGATATAAGATTATTCCAAAGTCCCCAAACACACATAACTGCAGCCAGATAAATTGCTGGCAAAGTGACTGAAAAGCTGGTATGTGATGAAGGTAAGTGATACCACTCATTATAATTTTACGGGAAATAGACTTTGTAAACAAATGCACCCCCATCCTTGGAGGAAATAGAGGTTCAATAGCTTGTGCAGGTGTCGTGCACATGGAGTTTTGCTAAGGGCTTGTCAAAGAGTGACTTTAAGCCACACCTGAGCTGCTGCTTGGAACTCGCCCTTCCATCAGCTCCTCATGTCCTCACCACCAGCCCGGTCTCCAGCAGCATCAGCTGGCTCCCTGCTGACAGGATGACTGGGAAAAAGCTGGCACAAGCAAAAACCACTCCTGGGAACAGCCCGAACTAAGTTGGCCTACGGGGATTATGAAAGCGTTATTACCAATGCCACTTGGCATTTTGATTAAAAAATTAAGCTTTTTAAAATGGAGCCCATATGAAATGAATGATGTCGTCAACTGACATGACAAAAAAGCATTTATCAGGGATGGAATCCCCATCAAATGAGGACTGAGTCTACGTCCTATATTATTGAGCATTTTCAGAATTTTCTCATAATCTTAATAGGATGTTTCCATTGAATCAATGTAAACAATCTAACATTCCACTCATTTCTATTCCTCCGTCCCAATTTTTATGTAGCAGAAAATTACTTGCTGGCTGGAAGACCACCACATTAACCTTGTTTCCTCACAGACTACAGTATAAATAACCTCAGTAACTTAGTCATTTCTGATTTTAAGTTCAATATAGACACTAAAAAAAAAAAAAAAAAAAACTTTAGAAAGAAAAAGAATGTGCAAAAGTAATTTTTTTAAAGCCTACAAAACAGGTATTAACAGTACAAGATTTGACTGAGGACATATGAAAGTAGTTGGGTACACAGGGAGTGAGTCCACTTTATGCCAGCCACCTGGGTGGTAGGGATACAAGCTAACACAACATCTTTAGAGTTGAATCCAAGCCAGAGTGGAGAAAGAATACATGATTGACCGACTGAGGACGAACTAGAAGCAGCATGGCTTCTTCTGGAAGTCGGGTGCTCAGCCAGGTTTCAGTTCCTGCTCCCACAGGTCATTTGTACCTCCCAACATTGCACAAGGAAAGAATGAACCCTGATCACCGAACCCTGACCCTGGTGTTTGGACCATATGATGTGAGTCCAACATGGTACACACATCCCTCCGTACTTCCAGTACGACATCAAAGGACTACAACAGGACTGAACTCCTATTTCTGCCACGTTCTACTGGTTCTCTCTCACCAGCCTCTTGCTGAGACCACAAACTCAATTTTGAAGCATCCTTTCTATCAAACACCGTATAGGCAATTATTACATAACTATTTGAATGCCTATTGCAAGGCTATTACTAAAGAACTGCTTGATTATGCACTGGAAGACAATGCAAGAGTGTTACCGCAGCATGTTTACTCGTAACTGCTCTGGTTTGCCTCAAGACTCAAAATTTAAGACAGAAATTTCTCTACTGCTTTTATCGAATCTGAGCCATGAGCAGCTCCCACGTTCTTCAATACTGAACATCCCATAAAAAGGTCAAGAAGTGGGCATAGTATTTCGTGAACAAACATTTTTTAAGTTGTCTATATTAAATCTGAGCCACGAGCAGCTCCCACATTCTTCAATACTGAACATCCCGTAAAAGGTCAAGGAGTGGGCATAGTGTTTTGTGAACAAACATTTTTTAAGTTGTCTATATTTTTCTCATCTCATTTAGTGATGGACGAAGCGTTCCTGCTCCGAGTAATTTCGTTGTTCCTCTGGAGAACAACATCTGTGTTGACAGGTGAGATGTTTGTTTGGGCTCCACCTACAAAGCATATCGAATTCCAGAGTAATAGCTGCATCTACAACGTAAAATTACAGGTGATGTCAGAGGGAGACAGAACTGTCTCCCTACTTAAAGGGGAGCTCCCCTTCCAACAAAATCCTCCTGTACTACATGTCACTCAGATCCGGAGCTCTTGCTGAAGCATCATTTGTTGATAAGGTTGATCTTACCAACACTATAATTGCAGGGAACGGAAGTGCAACAACAAAGCTGTCACAAGAGACCTGTGGCATCAAAATTAAAACCTTGTAGCTGGCTTTCAACCATGACTAAAGGGTGGATAATCTTGGTCTTGCGGCTCACCGGTTTGTCCTCGGCTGTAGGTTTAGCAGAGCGTAGTGGGAAGGTGAGTGTGAAGTAGCTGGAGACTCTTCTACAGAGAATTTTGTGACAGCTGCTTTCTTGTGGCAGGCTCCGGCTTTCTCTTGTGTCAAACTCAGCTGCTCCATTTCACAGGGTGAGTAATCTAACAGTTACAACTCCACACCTTGCCTTTCCTTCTCAATGAAATTCCAATTATGTTTCCCAGATGTTTTTTTTTTTGTGGCAGTTTCATGGCCAACAACTCTTTCGCTGGTCTCACACTGTCACCATCCACTTCATTTGCCTCCATAAATCCACCCTTCTTGTATGCTGCTATGTTTCTAAGCCTTTCCCTACCTCTATGAATAATCAGCCAA